GTGTGTTTTGGATTAATTTTGAATTATTTTGTTACATGTTGGCAGAACTGGTTCTGGTGTGTCGCACCTGCGGAAATTTTGGCGTAGGTGCGAGGTCGCAGAAGGGGAGGGGAGATCGCAAAAGCCGGAGTTTGGCCTTGGATTTGTAGTTTGCATGTACGAAAGCAGATGCGCAGAAGCGCTTGTGCACCTGTGAGGATGGATCACAGATGCGATTCTGCAGAAGCGGACAGTGTAGTGCAAAAGCGAAGGTTGGCTGGTTAAGTGGTTCTCGCATCTGCGAGAGTTTTGTCATAGATGCAGAATCGCTGGTAGAAGAATATATTTTGAGGGTTTGGCATATTTTTCATTATTTGGGGTTTGGAGCTCGACTAAAGGCGATTTTTGGGGAGATTTTCATTACAACTTTGAGGGTAAGTATTTTCTACTTGAATTTAATTATGTATCTCAATATTTCATGGATTTGTACACGTAGAGCATGGATTTGAAAGAAGAAAATTGGGATTTTAGCCTACAACTTAAGGAAATGAATTTTGAGGATTTGAAGGTCGATTTGGACTTGGTTTAGAATCTAATCACATATTTGGATTTCGGGATTATGGATAGTGGGATCTACCCCTTGACTTGGGTTTTGACCGCGTTGTCTGGGTTGACTTTTTGTTTGACTTTTGTGGATTTAATTAAAAAGCTTTATTGTTTGGAGTTATTTTCTATGACTTTATTTGACATTATTGAGTTGTTTTTAGTAGATTCGAGTCATCTGAAGTTTAATTTGGACGGATAGGCGATTGTTGCCTGATTTTAGCTTACCGGACGGAGGTAATTCTCTTGTCTATTCTTGTAAAAGGGAATTCTCCCCATAGATGATCTATTTGCTACTTGTTTCATGATTTAGGAGCCACGTATATGCGAGGTGACGAGCGTATATGCGTAGCTAAGTCTTGACCATATTTGTTATGATTGACTTGAATTGTGCTTTGTTGAATTATGTGAAGTTGCTATCCATGTTCAAACTGATTCTATGACTGCGTGATGATTTATATTCATGATTTAGGAGCATGGCTAAGGTTATGACTTGTTGATTTGACATGAAGGATTGTTTTGCCAAGTGAGCTTTATTATAAATCTGTAGTCATATACTTGTCTTATTTTCTCAATGAATTTGGTGGTTTCTATGGAATAATGATAAATAATATGATTTAGCTTGGACATGCTAAATAGCTTATT